AATTAAAAAAAAAGTAGCCCCTAACTTATTTTATTGTAATAATTACAATTTTTTATTCTTGCAAAAATTGTAAGTATATATTTGTATTCCTACATTCCCAACAACTCATTTGATCCATTCCATTTCCCTTTGTAAGCAAATTCTTTGTTCTTTTTCACTAGGGTTTTTTCAATCGAATTGTTCACGAGCCTGTCGAAAACAACCTAGAGTCTCGTTCATCGTCGATTTTTTTTGTATGATTGATATTATTCTTATGATGAGGTGTTTGGTAATTTTTCTGCTACTTAGTATTACAACAATGGATCATCCAATTAGAGTTGTTGAAAGTGTAAGAGTTATGAAGCAGAAATTAGATTATGAGAAATTGTTATTAAATCAACTTCCAAGAGGACCAGTGCCACCTTCTGGTCCATCTCTATGTCATAACAAGCTTGATCCTAATTTTAGAAAAATTAATTTTTCTCAAGATTATATATTATGTCCTTAATTAGTGAATATATTTATAGTATACATTTTGTTTCTTTGTATTTTCATGTTGAGTTGGCTATAGTTGAATTCAATAGAGAGCCAGGCACAACTTCTTTAATTGAATATGCTTTGTTTTCTTCTATGAGCTTGTGTTATGAGCGTTCAATTTCAGTTGGGACTCTACAAGACGTTTTTAATGGTGTATACATCGAAATTGTATGAGACTCTACAAGACATTTTCAATTTTAGTTGAAACTCTACGAGATGATTTCAATTTCAATTAGGGTTTTTGAAGGCTACTCTACCTTGATACGTAGCTTATGCTTCTATAAATGACAATTGTTTTTCTTTTTTGAAGATGCATCACGAATATCCCATAAACTCTTGGGATATTAATAAAGCGATCAAAATATGTCGTATTTTTCTTGATAACCAAATATTCAAGAAGATCTATAAAATTCTTTCAAGGTAGTCAAATAAATCACGAGAGGTCCACATTATCCTAGTTCAAGAAATATGCCACTAACGACACTCAAATCACGGAGAAATCTGGATACAAAAATTTGAATCTACAGCGCTTATCGATAAAATTTATGTTTCTTCATATTTTATTTATAATTGTAATTTATTTTTTTTGTCGCTCTAAATAATTGTTTCAAATAGTTACTTATAAACCAATAGTTGTTTAATTAGTTTCCTCTTGATATTAGGTTGATTAATGCAATTTTTTATATGCCAATACTAATATTATGTTTTAAGAATAACATTATGATCAAACATTTTCAAAAGACTTCAATGTTTAGAGTTCAAATAACTCCACTATGCAAGTCTTCTATTATATCTTCTTTACCTTATCCAATCGAAAAAAGAGAGTCTGAAGCGAGTAGAGTATCCAACAACTGAATTTTATATAGGACGTAATTTGAAAAATGTTATTATACGAAAATATATACTTATGACATATGATTTTCTTGTTTGTTGTGATGAGCGTAAGTTAAAGACCAACACAAAATAAGGACAAAAGCGCGATGATCCACGACTCCTTTTGGGCTTTAAATGGGCTAATAGATTTCTGACTATACCCTCCTCCCTTTCAAGTTGGGCCTTCTCTAAGAGATAACTTAGCCCATACTTTTTCTGAAATATAGTCTTTCTTTTGCTATAAATATTTTTACAGGAAACAAAATAAAATAAAAATTCAAAAATTAAAAATGATAAATGTCCTTTTTGTATTAAATTTAAATTAAAAATGATGAAAGTCCTTTTTGTATTAAATTTTTTGCAAGTGAACTTTTGGGCATTAACACAAGGTCACAATCCTTGACAAAGATAGTATAAGTTTCTTATAGTAATTTACGATGTTTTTTTTTCTTCTGTCTTTTGGTTTTACGAGACGCAAATCAAAATTAGTTCTTGCTATTATTATTCAGATGAAAATCACTATAATTATTATAATTCAAAAAGTAACCATTGTTAACTGTCATACACTCATAAAGCTTCTAATTTCATACGTGAAACTTTATAAATTATCACGAATTTTCACTTATAAAATTAACATAAAACTTTTTGATGATAATAATAATCTTTTAAAAGACAACCCCCAAACATGATTAATTCTTATGAAGTTAATTAAGTAACGCTTTCTAAACTCAAATGTCTAAATTAATATAAACATCAACACATTGGAACAAAAATTATAAATATCAAACGAGGATCTCATGTTCGAAAGCTCTTGGATGTTTTCTTAGTCAAGTTCGTTACATAAAAATTGTATAATATAATTCATCTTTCTGATATTATATATAAAATATTATATTTATAATGAGATTTATTTTGTGCGCATTCGAAAAATAGTAGGTGCAGCTTACTTAGTCAAACGAAAACTTTATGTAGCTCTAATTTTTCTACACGTACAAATTACACTTGCATACAAATTCATGTTGGTAGGTGCAATATTTGGCTGTGAATTTTCCTACAATCACCACCAGAAAAAAAAAAGTTTTCTTAACTTAGGAAGAGGACCATTATAATAAAAGATATTATAAATAAGATTAAATGCTTAGTTTTTAAAAAAAAAAATTTAGGAGTTCAGTCGATTGAATATCTGATAATATTATTTCTGGATAGATCTTTAATTAGAATATAGTGTAACATCATACTTTACTATGTATTATAAATGAGAAATTAGTGCATAATCAACTCCTTTTTAAGTTATGTTTAGTTAAACCCTTGAATATTAATAAAGTGTTCTAATTAGATGCTTTAGCTTTAAATTTTGATTTTTTTTATATATGTTCTTAGTAGTCGTCTATTAGGTAATTAAATTAACTATATAGAATATGTTATTTTTCTTTAATTATGCATATTCGCATCTCAATAAGCCGTAAAATTATAAACATTTAATTACTACTTAAGGTTGCTGCGTATAATAAAAGAATATGACATATTTTGTATGGTTAACTATCTATAGCTAATAGATAAATAAAAATACGTGTATATTTTCTACTTGAGGTTGATACATATGATAAAAGGAGATGATATATTTTGAAAAGTTAACTTAATTATCTAATAGATAAATTTGATATTAATGTACACATAAAGAATATCTGATTTAAATAGTTTATTAGGAATTAGGATGTACAATTGGTATAAAAAATTAATTTCAATTTCGAAATGAAATACTTGATAAATTTAAGAACCTTGACTATGTATTAAGCAATTATTATTTTATTTTTTTTACAAAAAAACATTGTGTTAAGTACTTTATAATATGTGGTAGTTCCCATTAGTGGCTCAAAGTTGCCCAACTTTTATGTGAGAGTCACAAATAACCAACAAAACATTTTATAAAGCTTGTCTTTTTATGCTATCTTTCCCAAGAAATATATTAGAGTATTATGATCATATTTTGTCTTTTTGAAAAATTAAATATAGTTTCAAGATGCTTTTTATTCTAATATTATTAGAGAATCTTTTTATTATTATTATTGACAGATTTTATTATTTATTTATAAGAAAAGAACAAATAAGTGGACCACATGATCTCAACATATAGCCATGAAAAAAAAAGGTTGGTGAGGTTTGTGTAGGAGGAAGACAAGGAAATTGGATGAGAAAAAACAAGTTTATTTATTAGGTGTATATTGAAATTATATCATATATCGAAACATTATATAATGATACTGAAGAAAAATTTATAATTTCACATCACATATTCAAATGAAAGACATATTTTTTTAACTCGATAATAACATAGTTCAAATAACAAATCCATGAAGCAATCTAGCTAGCTAAATACTCACATATGATTAGGTAGTGACATTTAGGATGATTAAAATGTTATGCCAAATATTGCTAATTTAAGAACATATTTTTATTTTATTATTTTGTAAAACTTATTATATTGACCAATATGTTTGAAGTAATAATATATTTATCCACTAATACTAGTACTTAGCATCATGAGGGCCAACAAATTAACTATACCTGTCATTTCTCTCCTCTTGTTTATTAATTTATTGCCATTCAAATAAAATTGCCATATTTTTATTATTTTTTATTATAACACAAAGTTTCCACTCACTACCTAAAAAGGGGTAGGTAGAGATTTTTCTCAAAGAAGTGAGAAAAATAGTTTGTTGGAATCTTCACCATAGCTCAAGTACACCAATTTGTGTGTAGGTGACATAATTTGGCTCAAATTTGTATAATAATAATGTCCCGATGTCTCATATTTATATTAAAATAAATTTAGATATATTTATTAAAAACTTATTTTTAAAAACAATATTATCAATAATTATTTTTATTTTTAAAAAATTAAAATCGAAACATTTGATTAAAATACGAGATCACAACTAGATTGGTGACTAATATGCATTGGTGGTTCTTAGCATCACGGAGGGCAGCTAACTCTACTTGTCAATTGTCATTTCTCTCCTCTTGTTTATTGATATTCAATTCATAATAAAAGGGCTATTAATTTATATGACCTAGTTTAAATTCTGAGAAATTTAATCATAAATTTAAATATTAATTATTTAATATAAAAAAAATTATGATAAAGTTAACTATCGAAGAGGCATAGTCAAAACAATGCCAATAGAATAAATTAATTAACTTCAAATTTTTAACTGTATCATATAAATTGGATGGACGGACAGAAATTTTAAAAATATTTTTTTAAAATCTTAGATGACTTTCCACCTAAAAGGGGGGTAGGTAGGGATACTTTTCCAAATAATTCTTGACCATTCAAAGAAGTTAAAAAAATGGTTAGTTGGATTTTTTTTTTAACCATATCTCAAATACACTAATTTATATGTAGGTGAAGAAGTTCCAATGTAAATGGTTAGGTTTGAAATTTGAGAATGAAAAAAAATCTCGATCGATTATATATTTTTATTTAATAATTAATTTAAATATAAAAAGTAATAATTTTTTGAAAGTATAAACGATATTATTATTAAGAGATTTGATCGTGAGTCAAAGTTATAATATAGTTCCACGTGTTTAGATACAAACTATAATAGATCCTACATTTAGTTTTTTTTTCTATAAATAAAGCCCCTCAAGAAGAACTTAAAAGAACAAAAAAGTCCAATAGATACATAAATTGTTCTTCAATTTATCTTCAAAGTTCAAACAAGGTACTATTTCTTCCTCAATTACCTATCGTTTGATTATAGATTTTGAATTAGCTTTCGAAAAATTATCAAATGATTAGCTATGAAATTTAAATTTTTGAATATTTTAGGTTCTCAAAAATTAGCTTTGATTATTTTTTACAAATTCAAAAAAATACATGTCTAGAAAAACTTTAAAAGCTCAAATTTTTATGTTTGGAGTTTCAACTTCAAAATTTACGAGTTTAAACAGGAGCTAAAGGAAAGATAGAGATAGAGATTGAATTCTTAATTATTACTAATCAGTACTATAAATTGAGTTTCTTTTTTACTGATAAATTTTCTTTAATTGTTTTTGTTTTGAAGAATTATTGAAGATGGAACTTATATGTGGTGAGTGATTTCCATGCCATACTTGTCAAGTGAGCAGTCCTTTTTGCTGTTAACCTTTGTCTCATTGTCTGTTCGACCTTGAAATAAAAGAAATAAATATACGAAGAAATAATTATATCATATTATAATATTTTGACGAAACGATTTATCGTAGCTCTACGTTATACACAAATTCTAGCTACTAGATAATATATATTAATTCTTGATTTTGGATTTAATTAAAATATAGTTATGCTAATTTACTATCATCAATATTTAGCTTAATTAATTAGTGAATAAATCTTCAAGGTTTGTAGGGAAGAGGGTAGGGGGAAAAAACTTCAATTTATTGTCAATGTTCATAGGATGGTTTATTTAATGAATAAAATAATTAAGTCTTTGTTCTTTTGTTAATTAGGGTAATTTAATGAAGTCTTTAATCGTTTGTTAGTTAGGGTAATTACAGACAAATTACAAACTACTTTTATCAACAAAAAAGATTTATATGAACATATTAGTGTTCAAGAAACAAATTTTTATCGGGGACCGATGCATAGTACATAGTAACATTATGACAAATCTTTTTCACGAAAAAAAATAATAATGAGAGAAGTACTAAAAACTCTTTCAAACTCAACGTGAATTATTAGTTTTATTCTAAAAATTATTGACAGTCTTAAAAACACTCATATATTGGTTGTTGCAGATCGAATGAATATCTAACTTTAGTTAAATAACTAAAAGAATATTTTTAAAATTATAACAATTCGAGAATAAAACTAATAACTGTCGAGTTCATAAACACTTTCAATAGAAATAATCTCAATCGTCTATGGGACAAGCTCTTAGAACTTAATGACTCATGAGTTAGGTGTAACAAAAAAATTTGTGAGTTATTTTTTTATATATCATAATTCTAATTAGTTTCAAATTATATTATATTAAAATTTTAATATGAATATGAAATTTAATTTGAAAAAAAGATTATTATTTTCCGTTGAATTCAAACTTTTAATATTGATTTCGCCCCTCATTCTTTTGTACATGCCCTATCTTATTTTACAAGTTAATGATATTAAAACATTTTTTCATGTTTATCTATATTTATCACTTGCGTAAAATATCGTTTGCACCATTAGTATATTAAAGTTCAAAATGTTCTTTTAATAATTAAAGAGAATATTGGTAGTGGATATTTTATTTAATTAAGGTCGAACATACAATGAATCTAAGGTAAAAAAAGAAGCAAAGAGACTGCTGATTTGTCAAGGTTTTGCACTGAAATCAACACCAATGCTTGAAGCTCACAATTACGAGAAATATATGGAAATTGAACTTTTACATGTCGTAGCAGGTAATAGTTTTATTTTCGAGTTATTTTTTTAAATTATGAATGAGTATTTATATATATATATATATATATATTTATATATATATCTTTTGTCTTTTATGTAATAAATACAATGTAAAAGTTTAATATACTGAAATTATTATTATTATTATTTGTTAAATAGAAATATAAAAAGTAACAGGTAATTTTGAAGTAAAACTTCAGCAAAATTTTTATGCTACTAATGAACATGCTGCAAATTGTCGATCGATGAAATTTGTGTGAGTTTTACAATATAAGAAACCACCTTTTTTATGACAATCCTTCACGCCACAATAACTTGCAATTTTGAACTTCTAGACATGTAAACTACATATGCATGTATTAATTATCGTCATCTATTAAATATTATGTATTTTGTCATTAATTAAGATTTTTTTTATCGTAAATCAAAGAAAATAAATGTAATTGTGCTATTAGATACACAAAAATAGGGAGAGAGGTGAGCGAGATTGGTAAGCTGGGAAGATGAGTGTGATTCATATGTGTCTCATATACATGCGAATCACAGTAGATACTTTATCTATATGTATCTGGAGTTATTCACATATCAGATACATGGGAGAGACGAGAGAGATTCGCTATATATCCTAGATATACGCGAATTCACTTGTATACAGTGTATTCATAACAAATTATACTTAATTTTGACTCCATGTATTCGAAATACATGTATTTAGAGATACCAAAATCTCATAAGATACATAATATTACACATTAGAGTGTATCGATTAGCTCATATACTAGTGAAATTTACGGAAGTTCCCCAAAAATTCATATCCTTCCCTCAATGTCACACCCCTATATTCCTCCGAAAATTGAATTGTTTTTTTTTAAAGAAAAGAGTTTTTCCAATTAAAGTGACATTTTGAAAAGAGATTATTCTATATTCAGAGTCGTCACTTGGAATTGAGTTATGGTGTTCCAAGTTACCTTTTTGTTTAATCCCTAATAAAAAGGAAATGACTCTTTGTTTAGTCTGCGAATCAGAAATTCGGGTAAGAAATTCTACTGATCGAGGGGAAGGTATTAGGCATCCCTCGTGTTCTGTGGTTTCAGCACGGTCGCTTTATTGACTTTTATGACTTAAATTAACTTTTGAATATTATATTATTAAAACAAATATATTTATCCGCATTATTTGATTAACCTTTGACATATTTAAAACTACCCTATTTTATAAGCATGTGAAGTTTTTATACATTTTTATTATTTATTTATTTTTGTTTATTAATTTTTCATGCTTTCAACATTTGTTTGCTTCTTAATTTCTTTTTTTATTTTTTTTGTTTTTCTTATTTGTTTTTATAATTGTATTTTTGTTTCTGTTTCTTATTTCTTGTACTAATTATTCACGTTTTTTTAGCTTTCCTTATTTTTTAAATTTTACAGTAATTTTTTTCTTTTTCTTTTCTCACCCTTTTTAATAGTTCTGTTTTTTTATGATAATAATAAAATATTTTATTATATTTTTTAACACTATACATTTTGTTAAAGTATTTTTTATTATATTTATTTTTTATTTTTTCTTGTACATTTTCTCCATCCTTTTTATTATATTTTTTTGTTTTTTTTTCTAATTCAAATGTTCCTTCTCCACTACTACTTTTCTTCTTTTGTTATTCACGTATTCTACCTTTTTTCCTTATTTGATTTTTATTGTTATTATTTTTAATAGCATCCAAAAAAATTAATAATGTAAGACGACACACATAATATAATATGAAACATAATTTAATGCTTTTCTAAACACAACCAAACAAAGAATTCATTCAAATTAGTAAGATATGAATATAGAAATTTGGATAATTACGCATATTATCATTATAAAGTTAAGAACTTTACATAATAACTACACATATTATCATTATAGAACTAAATATGAAAAATAAAAATAGACTTAGATAATAATTTTACTTAAGTATGAAATAAACTATGGATTATTTAATATGAAATAAAGTACGGTTTGTTATAGCAATTTCACACTAAATATAACTATATAAAGGATCTAAACATAAAGTTGATATGAAATATTTGAACATACTTCATATAAAAACATAATGGTTTAACCACATGTGAAATTCGACAACTTCAGTATATTGCAATCATTGATTGTATAATCATGATATTAAATTATACAATAAAAATTAAATGGTACCTCTTGCGAAAATTTCACCAAAAGAAAACAATCGGGATAAGGAACCACGAACTCGAAACCACAAAAGTAAACCTCAACTTCAACTCTTGTTTGTGAGTGAGAGCAAAATATGAAATAAAATGTGAATATATTTGCTGATTTTTTTTTGTTTGTAGGTGATTTTCTTCCTTTTTTCAGATCTTAACACAAAATAAAATATTTACAATTTTTACAAGTTAAAATTTGAAATAAAATAGATAAACATTGAAAACTATAAACTAACTTAAAATATACTAACAAAGTAGATTATAAAATATTTTTATATAAAATAAAATTTTATATATATAGAGAGAGAGTGTGTCATTGAGAACTATAAACTAACTAAAAATATATTAGCAAAGTACATTATAAATAATATTTTTTAGCTATAAATAAAATAAATTATATATATGTATATATACAAAATATTTTACAAATCCAAATTTGAAATAAAATATATAAAATTGAAAATTATAAACTAACTAAAAATATATCACCAAAAGTAGATTATATGTAAATAATATTTTTTATCTATAAATAAAATAAATTATGTATATATATATTTGTCGGTTGAATTCAGCTTGATTCTTTTTTTTTCTAATACCAAACCAAATAAAAAATGGTCGATTTTTTTAAAAATATTTTTTAAATATTTTGAATTATCAATTATTGAGACTTATAATATTTTTAATGTAATTTACAAATATATAAATTTTATTTTAAAATTTATAAAAATTATATGAGAAAATTCTCTATATAACTTGAATCGTTTGATTAAATAAAATTTATAAAAATTATATGAGCAAATTCTCGATATAACTTGAATCGTTTGATTTTCAAAAAGAAAAATATATCATATAAATTGAAATTGACACGGAGAAAGTAATAAATAAACTAAAGCACAAAAGTAAGATACTTGAAGAGGGGAAGTTAAAGTACATAAAAAGAATGAAGATATATATATATGATGTTTATCATCTAATTAATAATCATCACAAAAGGAATAAATTGAACATCAATTTTAAACGAACTAAATAAAAAACAGTTAAATTAAAGCAAAAAAAATAACGTTATATATTCATATATTTAATTTAGATGCCACTTGATGCATTGATGATTTACCACAAAGTCAACAATAACACTTCTATTCATATAAGACTTTCTTCGTACCTTAATTTGTATCGAAAAAAGATCAATGACACTACTTTATTAGAAACACATATAAATATATAGATAGATTTGCTATGACAACAAATATATCGAACCTTATAATTAAAAGAAAAAAAATATAAATACAAATACAAACACTAATTATTTTGTGACGGAGAGTACTCCGTCCTAAAATTTTAGATATTCAAGGGCTACATATCTTGGATTTAGTGCCATCACCTTTCTCATTACATGTAGTGCAGCAAAAGAGAAGATTTTCTATGCCCATGCAATCTTGGTCTGACGTACAAGGCTGATTGCACTTAAATCCCATAACTTGTGATTTTGAAGTTCCAGCTGCATGCATGAATATAATTTTGTGTTAATAAAAAACTATAATGTAAAACTATTTGAATATAAATATATGTATCATATGTGATGCATGATTAATTACTTTTACACAATTAGAGATGTAAAATTAGCGGACTGGGGATGAATTTGGACTGATCAAAATAAATTGAATTGATGAATGAACATATCATTTGTTTTGTCAAATTTTTTTGAATATTGAAATAAAAAAAAAGAAAGTTTGAAGTTACGAACCAATAGTCATAGCCAAGAGTAAAAAGAAGAAAATAGCAAACTTGTTGACTGAGGCCATATTTGCAAATTATAAAGCAAATATTGATTAAAACTTAGCAGAAGATTAATGTGTATGTGTGGTGATTTCTTTCATGGAGAAAGGATCCTATTTATAAGCCCCAAATCACACTAATGTTAATTAATTAAATGTCAATATATATGTTGAATATTATAACTCGAAGCTCACATGGCCATACTATTTATAAAAATAAAAAGATATAGTAATATCAACTTAAGTGTAATTTTTCATCTGATTTGATATAGAGAGAGTCGAATCCAACATTTAAAGTTTTAGGCAGTGATAGCAATAAAATATTTATTATGGGAATACTATATAACGAACAATATCAAAGTTCAATTTTTTTTCATTTTGAGCTAAAAAAGTTACAATTCAAATTTTACTATATGAAAATGCAAAAATTTGTTACAATATTGCTAGCATAAGATTAAAACTCAACGATCAAATGAAAACTGACATATTCACCTAATATTATCAATAAACTCATTCTTCATTCTTTATAGCCACAACAATTAGATCAAAAGATAATACCACTAACTATTAAAAAAGCTGGATTTAGCGATGAACAAATATTATAGCTAATTAGTGAAATTTATCGCTAATCCTTTTTAGCAATAAATTAGTAATAAAATTTTATTTGCTACGAGTAAAATAGGAACGGATTGCTAAGTCCACTATTTTTTAGTAGTCACTATATCAACTTAAAACGAAAGAAAAATTGATTAAAAGTAAATGAAAAGTACTTTTTTAATAAGATTTTAGTTTGTAAACTTTTTTTGTACTCAACTTCCCCTTTTCAAGGATCTTAGTTTATATTTTTATTATACATAATAAATATTCAATCACTCTATCGTCTTGACATATATCATGATCTAATTAATAACCATCACAAAAGGAAAGAACTAAACATCTTTTCTAAACGAACTAATATATTAATTGAAACGAAGAAAATAACTTTATATATCCATACATTTAATTTAGAGCACACATAATACATCAATAATTTACCACAAAGCCAACGAATAACACTTCTACTCATACAATTTTTTCTTTATAACTTAATCTGTATCGAAGAAAGATCAACAACACAACTTTATTAGAAATACACATAAATAATACAAAGTACATTTTGGGACGGAGAAAGTATATTTCCTCCGTCCCAAAATTTTCGATATTCTTCATATCAAAATAAGAAGCCACATGCCTTGGTTGTAAAGCCATCAATTGGATTAGTTTTCTCTTTACATAGAGGGCAAACAAAAATGGCCATACTAAAGCAATCCAGGTCTGTGTTACAAGGTTGATCGCACACATTTTCCATAACTTTCAATTTTGAAGTTTCAAATATGTCAACTGCATGCATGAATATAATTAAGAGTTAATAAACTATAGTGTAAAAATAATTAAATATGATATGTGATGTATTGATCTTAATGCATGATTATATTACTTTCACAAAATTATACTAGTAATAGTAATAATTAGTGATGTGATGTTAGAAGGGTGAGATGAATTTGGCCATTCTGATTAAAATAAGATGAGTTAATAAATGAACATATTATTCGTTCGTTCTATATTATTTGAATATTGAAATAAGAAAAAGAAAGTAATAATTAGTAATAGTAATAATTAGTGATGTGATGTTAGAAGGGTGAGATGAATTTGGCCATTATAATTAAAATAAGATGAGTTAATAAATGAACATATTATTCGTTCGTTCTATATTATTTGAATATTGAAATAAGAAAAAGAAAGTTTAAAGTTACGAACCAATAGACATGACCAAGAGAAGAAAGAAGAAAATACTAGCAAACTTGTACATTGAGGCACTATTAAAGCTAAATTGGATTATTACTAATTAGGAGAAGATTAATGTCTTTGTGTGGTGATTTCTTTCATTGAAGAAAAAGGATCATATTTATAAGCCCCAAAGTACACTAATATTAATTAATTAATTATATTCAATGACGGTGGATAAGAAAATTACACAGTCGCTTTATTTTTAAAAATATTTAACTTTTTCCTCTTAATATATTCATATATTGTTAATATTTAAATAAAAATAATTTTAAAAATATAATATGGTAACTTAGACTCTAAAATAATTATACTACTTTGTTTAGGATTCTCACTTGGTTTAGCAAAAATAAAAAACGATTGTTTCACGTTTTCTTCTTCTTATTTCATTATTTGATAACTTGGACTTTAAATTAATTTACAAGTTTGTTTAAGATTCTTACTTAGTTTAGCAAAAATATAAAATGATCCTTTCACGCTATCTTCTCATTATTTCATGCTCCTTCTCCAATGATACCATTGAAGCAACTCAAATACATGAATTAAAACAATTTGAGACAATCACCAATGGTAGTTTTTTTACTCAAAATAATAAATTTAAATTAGTTGTTGAAACCAAAAAGTAAAAAAAAAAAAAGACATGTGTGAGGAAGATTAAATATATCACATATAAATTATATTTTCTCAAAAAGAATAATTAAAGGATTAAATCAAAATTATTTTTTTCACTTCCATTCGAGGAAAAAGATATATACAAGTCATTTGTATAACAATATATATATATTGTTGACACCCAATTTTGGCTTAACATTTTAAAAATTCGTTATTTTGAAGCTTTGTTTATTTAATAGCAAATTTTTGTCCGATTATTTTAAAATTCATACATTTTGAGTCAAATACAAAAAAAAATGTCTTTCCCACATTGTCTCTCAAACAATTTTCAATTTTGCAATAGTCCCACTTCGGTATTTCATCTTTTTTGAGGATTTTTGGGTTTCTATATAAGCCCACTTCATTCACTATTTTTAGGGGAGGATTTGGAGGGAAAAAACAAAAGAATACTCATAAAATTTTGAGACTTCTTGGTTCCCATAGTTCAAAAATTTTAAAGTGTTTTTGTGGTTTTTCGAGTTGAGGAGGTGGAGTCGCCTCTTTCAAACTCGGAGTTCCGATTCGCTGTCCAGAACCAGGTAAATTTTTTTTCTTAGCCTTGTTTTATTTAATTCCTAGCTCTTTTATGTTTTCTGTTTATTATATGTAGCTTGTTTTGTTTTTTTAGTTTAATGTAGTTCTAAAAGTCAATTAATATTTGTGTTTATTGTAGTTTTAATATTAGCATTATTTTACGATTCGATGTTTATTTATTATTACTATTATTTTGAAATTGTTAGTCAATTATTTGCTATCTTAACTTTTCAGGGTTTTGTTATTATTTTATTTTAATGTTATTTTTAATTTTTATATATTACGTTATTGTTGTTTCCATTTCTAATTATGTTATTTTAGTTTGGTTGTTGTTTTCCATATTCTCTTGGGATAAGTTTGTTATGTTTTGTTGATGTTTAGTTTATACATTTTATATGTTGAAAAGGGCCGATGAAGAAATAACCGTCGATTTCCAAGGCCTCCCATGTCAATAAGACGGATTTTTATTCTTAAATTATTATTTGAGTTATTCATTTTTAGTTATATTTATTTGGCCCTAACTCTTTTATCAAGTGTCTTTACAGGTATTCGGAGGTGCTTCTCCTTGAAATTATTCGAAAAAGTTCGAATTATATTTCATTCATAATTTTGTGAATATTGACGTTAGGCAAACTTTAGGCCGATAATTATTGCTTTATTGTGTATATTGTGCGTTTATTATATGTGTTTATTATATTCTTCCTCAATTTGAAAAAAAATTAATTCAGTCGGGAATCACATTTGTGGATTCCGAAGGGTGCCCAACTCCTTCCCTTCGGAATAACATAAACCCCTTACCTAGAATCAATTTGGTTTCGTAGATAAATAATTGGTTCCCTAGTTTTCCTAAAATTAGGTGGCGACTCTTTTTTTAAAACTCATTTATTTTTAAAACTTTGTTAAAATTAAATCAATTAATTGTTTTTCGAGTTGCCGCGACGTTTCGCCCTATTTCGAAAGAGTAGGGATGCAAACATATATATATATATATATATATATATGAGTCACTTTAATAATAAAAGATATATGAACTCTAGATAACAAAATTATCAATCAAATATTAAAAAAAACTTAGAATAAAATAGATTTCTGCCATATATTTAACACACCTACATAGTAGATATATAATGCATTAATTTAAGGGAAAATTATGCGGATAAACAAACTTATATTGTTTAATTACTCATCATAGCCATCATTTGCTATAATTACCACTCGCGATTAACATTATACATTAATTACATGGGCTGACTTCGAATTTGTATAATTAGTCATGTTTGTATATGTATAATTCGCCAGGATATACAAATAAAATATGTATAATATACAATATTTTAGCCTATATTACATATAAAATTCACCTCTCTCCCACTCTTCCCTCTCTCGTTCGCCTCTCTCCTTCCTCTTTCGATCTCGCTCGCCTCTCTCAGTCTCGCTAGCATTTATACAAATATATATGTATAACATACAGTTATATTCAATTATATGCATATACAATTCACCTCTCTCTAACTCTCTGCCCTCTCTCTTCTCTCTCTCCCAGTCTCTCTCGCCTCTCTCCTCCCTCTCCCAATCTCTCTTGCCATATATACAATTACATATGTATAATATACAATTATCTAACCAATATACAGATACAATTCACTTTTCTCCCACTCTCTCTCCCAGTCTCGCTCGCCTCTCTCCTCGATATAACATGTAGCTACAAATTATTATTAACAAACTATAACTATGGAGAGTAATTAATTATTTTTAAGTGGCTATATGTGAAAGTTTCCATTTATTTAATCAACTCCTTGATCTATGATCTTTTTATATAAATTTATTTACAATATGCTCATTTTTTTATGTATTTATTTGGAGGAACATTATTCCTTATACATGTAGAAATTGCAAATTAACCTTTCAATTATTTTGGGGAAATATTTGCTGCAGATAAAAAGCCTAAAATTTAGGATTTTCATGTTTTCGCATGAAAATTCGTCGAAATTTTTTGCTAAAACAATAAAATTCACATGTAATCTAGTAGTGATACCAATTAGGATTCTTGGAGATTATCTAACTTTAAGCCCTATTCATGCATATAAAATGGTACTTACTATATTCCCTAGAAAAAAACATCTTGATTATTACATATTAAGGTATGTCAAATTTCTTCTTGTTAATAAAATATTTCTAAAAGAATCACAAATCCTTTAATTGAGATCCGGCCCTCGAATCAAGGAGATATCCAAATCATCTTCGTTCAAAAGTATGTCATTAATAACCATTGAATCACAAAGAAATTCTAAGAGAGAAAAGAATTAAGGGATAAGTAAATTTGTACCCTCCAAGTATTTATCAATAAAATTATGTTTCTAGATATTTTATTTGTAATTCAAATTTATTTTCAAATTTATTTCAAACGCAATCACAACTTAGTGCATTTAACTCATCTCTTTTGATCAAAGATATTTTACAAATTCAAATTGCATGCATTTTGAAGAATAGGTGACATGAATGAAATAATGTTGAAATAGAACCCTTTGTGATAACCTATTAAAATAGGTATTATGAATAAATAATAACAAAATATAATACAAATTTAAAAATATGTACCATAAATGAAATAAATACGTAAGATATTGTCAAAGATTAATTATCTCACTCATAATATCATTTCAAAATTTCATGTTCTCACATATTATAATTCAAACAACCATTACCTAGAATATATCTAGATATCCTTTTATTCATAGTCTTCACCCCAAAGGGAGAACACATACAAACACACCACTAAACATGGTAGTGTTGATAAAAAAGATAAAAAAAAAAAGTACGTGCACATGCACATATAGATAGACAGACAGACAGATAACTCGTTGATATTATTGTTCAAGGCAAGACGGTACATGAACGGTATGTTGAACCATCAAAGGGATTTGTCTTCTCCCAACACCATTGGCAAAGTGTGAAACCACCACAATCAGAGTTTGTGGTGCAACTATCATCGCAACTTCCCAAAACATTTGTGGGAAATAGCTTTGTTTTAAGCATTTTTGCTTCTAACGGCATGTCTCGAAGAGCCATCACTTGCAATTTTGAAATTCCAGATATATCAACTGTATAAAAATATATATTATGATAAACGTAAGAATCCAAAACTATAAGATAAATGCACATAATATATAAAAACAATCAACTTTGCTCAACTATCATAATGATGAAATAAAAGAGATATAAAATTGGATGAATATTGGTTACAAGAAAGATTTTGTTTAATGACCATTAGGCAAAGTAATTTTGGGATTTTTTAACAATGTTTATTACCATTTTATTCTTAGTATCAAATAACTAAGTGATAATAGTCAGATTTAAAATTTCAAAGTATCTTTAATAAGGTTAGTTTAGTAAGATATGTCTTTCACTGAATTGTTTGATCTTAAGAGGTGAGTCATGTTAATAGGTCAAAATATTTTCTCTAGAAAGAAAGTTTTTGCATGGAAAATGACTTCTTTAATCGAAGTAGGAAAAACAAGTTACATTATCATTTCTGATCCCTATCTCTTCCCCTTGACCATCTACCTCAACTCCCCGACTCGTTCCAGCCTACAATATTTTGCTAGATAACATATAAATATTTTTGGAATAATAACTTTTTTCTTACTTACTAAACATTAAAAAATAAATACAAAGCTCTCTAATTTTTGAAGAAAACATTTTCCTACGTATTAAAAACAATTCATATATATAATCACTTCTAAGAAAAAATAAAAAGATTAAAAGAAAAATGTTATGAACCTATAGTTGTTGTCAAGAGAACAATGAAGAAGATAGCAAACTTCATCATTGATTTTTTGTATTTAATCAATGAATAGAAGAAGAGTGTTGTGTGGTGATTTTATTTTTCTTTAAGAAGGATACTATTTATAGGCCCC